GGGCAGTGCCAAACGGTGCTGGAAGGAAACAAACAAGGAGCAAACGTGGCAGAGCAGAGACATACGGGGGAGCCGAGACAGTTCATTACACAGCTATGTGTATGGAGAGCTGGCCCTGACTCTGTAATAAGAAGACCCTTTTCCGCTGTATTCCTCTCATGTGATACTATGGGAATGTATTGCAGCATCACACTCATACCTCAGCGTCTACATTGAATGATCGAAACAACACACTTAATGCAAGCTCCCCATTGGTCCTGGTTTACAATCATTAAAGCTGAACTGAGGGCACCTTGAATTGTATTTCAATACATAACTCAAAGACGTTGAAGGATATAAATCCACTTTGTGACAAAAGGTTGAAAAAAAAACACTCACATGCTCTCTGCTCCTCCCTGTCCATTTCTGCTGCAGCAACATCTGGCAGCGCGGCAGGAGAACTGCCACTGCTGCGCTAGGAAGACTCACCTAGCGCAGCAGAAGGCACATGGTGACCCACTTTTGGGTGCGACCCACAGGTTGCGATCCACAGTTCTAGAATCTTTAGACGTTTTTTAAAATAAGAGTGTGTACCTACACTATATTGCCAAAAGTATTGGGACGCCTGTCTTTACACTCACATGAACTTTAATGGCATCCCAGTCTTAGTCAGTAGGGTTCAGTATTGAGTTGGCCCACCCTTTGCTACTATAACAGCTTCAACTCTTCTGGGAAGGCTGTCCACAAGGTTTAGGAGTGTGTCTATAGGAATGTTTGACCATTCTTCCAGAAGCGTATTTGTGAGGTCAGGTACTGATGTTGGATGAGAAGACCTGGATCGCAGTCTCCGCTCTAATTCATCCCAAAGTTGTTCTATCGGGTTGAGGTCAGGACTCTTGGTATGCTGATGCCTTAAGAGTTCCCTTCACTGGAACTAAGGGGCCAAGCCCAACCCCTGTAAAACAACCCCCCACCATAATCCCCCCTCGACCAAACATTACACTTGGCACAATGCAGTCAGGCAAGTACCGTTCTCCTGGCAACCGCCAAACCCAGACACATCCATCGGATTGCCAGACAGAAAAGTGTGATTCGTCACTCCAGAGAACACGTCCCCACTTCTTTAGAGTCCAGTGGCGGTGTGCTTTACACCACTGCATCCAACGCTTTGCATTGCACTTGATGTAAGGTTTGGATGCAGCTGCTCGGCCATGGAAACCCATTCCATGAAGCTCTCTACGCACTATTTTTGTGCCAATCTGAAGGCCACACGAAGTTTGGAGGTCTGTAGCTATTGACTCTGCAGACAGTTGGCGACTTCTGCGCACTGTGTACTTCAGCATACACTGACCCCGCTCTGTCATATTACATGGCCTACCACTTCATGGCTGAGTTGCTGTTGTTCCCAGTTGCTTCCACTTTGTTATAATACCACTTACAGTTGACCATGGAATATTTAGTAGCAAGGACATTTCACAGAACACCTAAATCCAATGATTTGGAGGGGTGTCCCAATACTTTTGGTAATATAGTGTATATTCTCCTGGTCTCGTCATGTAATCGCTGTTCCTGCAGCTGACAGGCAGATAATTTACAATGTAAAGGAAAAGTAACTCTTCATAGATATTCATGTATATATGTCCGATATTCATGGACCCGAAGGGAGGAGGAGGATCTTTAGTTATTGCGTTGGAAGCCCATATCGGAGACCCAGGGTACCCAGTGGGAGATATGTGGCATGTGCACTTTGTGTTTGGGTCAAACAAAGCCTATGACATTTACACATTGTTCCAAGCTACATTTTAGAAAACATAGAATTGGACAGCAACAGAATAAAGGGCTCTCATTAACAAGCCATGGTATGCATTAATGCAGTAAACAGTTTTTTTGTAAAGCTGTGCCCCAAGCTATCTACCATGGAGGATACAGTTTTATATCTGACATCAAAGCAGCTAACAAAAGAGAAAATTGTCCTTATTAAATAATAATGGCATTTCCTAACATTTTAACAGCAATTGTCTGCAGGAGCAAGTAAGTAAGAGCATCTGCAATAGCAAAAAATTTCCACAGCCTCAGGCATCAGTCTATGTACACTGTCTCTACATAGATGGTAATGCCATAGATCAGTCCCCTATGCATAAAGCATTCAAAAGGAACATTTTTGTGTTCATAAGTGTCTGTATACATTGAAATGCAGCAGGTAATTACTGTTGTGTAAGGCTGTCAGTGGTAGCCAACAGCTTCTGGACCTTTGGAATTGTTCGAATGGCACAAATTGGCCTCATAGAAGTCTATAGAACTGGATGCTACAATTAGTAGGACTGGAAGCTGTGGGCAATGGTAGCATTATCATTGACTGTCATCATAGTGGAATACCTGGCAAAGGACGCCACAAAGTTAAGTGCAAATTGCACATTATACTGACCATTCTTCCTATAGCTCTCCAGTTTAAAATATTTCAAAGCTCTTTTTTAGGCTACATTCACATGGGCAAGAAATATCTTGTGGATTGCTGGATCAGAGGAGGAGATAGGGTGAAGGGACTGGTCAAAAAGCCAGCCGGCTGCGAGGTTTAGGTGAGTATATCTTTGTTATATTCATCCCCAGACAAAAAAACAAGCACTTAACCCTTGCAGTCTGGGGGTAGCCTCACTGCAAGGGTTAAGAATATGTATGCCCATGTCTTTTTTTAGATGGATGTTGTTTTACTACACTGTTCTATGTTGTAGATGTTTTATTATGTCTTGATGAAAACAATAAAAAACTTTTGACAGTAAAGAATGTGTATGCCCAAAGTTCGTCTTTAAACTGTGATATTCCAGATACCATAGTCCACATGCCATTATCTAGTGCAGGTTCAAATCTGATTGGCTAGTGTGGGGCAAAACAAATACTTCCTATGTAAGCCATATTGACAAACAATTATTGTTACAAAGATTTTAACGAGTTGGTTATTTAAAGTGGAAATTCCCTTTATTATTCTTAAGTGCATTGTTTACTCTATATTATTTTAAAAATCATCTGTAAGCTTTGCTGAGGGAAAACATAATTGTTGAACAAATTGCTTTATATAAAATACAACTGAAATTATGAAATTATTATTTCTTTATTATAAAAATACTTACGGTTAACGTGTTCCTAGGCTATGTAGAGTAAAGTATTCACTTATTCAGAACAAGCAGTTAAAGAGATTTAAAACAAGCCCTCACAGACCTATCTAGGTGCTGGTACTGTGAAGTATTTCATAATTAAAAATCCTCAAAGCTCACAACAGAATCGAAAGTTTCCAACAGCTTAGAGACATCTGCTGTGTGGTTACATTAGAAGGCTGGCAGGCTGGCAAGATTATGCTTCCATAGGAAATAGCCTCTGTTGTGAATTGTAAAGACAATCCACAGTGCCCATAATTACAGAGGTGAATGGGGGTTGTTTTACAGTGTTTTTACTGCTTGTCCAGAATGTGTGAATGCTTTAAAGAGCAGGGTCTGGACACGGGTTTTCTTGTAGAAATACACTGGCCTAAGAATCTGGAGCATCTGACATGTTCATATGTACCAAGCTGCCCTTGTCATTTGCAGCGCACTATACCGTGTTTGTTTGTGGTGCATGAATTGGATGTTTCTCCACAGATGAAAATATTCAAGGAGAATGAAAAATTTATATTATCTATAAACCGTAACTTACATAAAATGGGCAGGCAATAAAGCATATTCAAAGGTTGGTCCTTAAAAATAAGCAAATAATAGGCACATGTAGCAACATGAGAATCATTTTAACAGACAAATTAAAATTAAAATCTCTATTACTATAAAATTAAAAATTTCTTATTGGATTTTTATTGTTTATGCCGTACTAGTTTTGACGTTGACCCTCAAAAGTGTACACATGGCTTTTTATGGGAATAATCCAAAAGATCAGGAGATAATGCAAATGGATGATGTTGATGATGGCAGCCTTGCTTTAAATGCCTGGTAGAGTAGACATAGTAGAGGGAAGGTTTGGGCTGCATAGGCAGCAAGAGTCCACATAGCAGTTTGACTGCAACTAGCTTTATTGTGTTTCCAGCATTAAAGTGACATTAAGCACAAAATATACCCTTGCCTCTCCATCACTTACGTAACATTATTTCAGTGCCTATATGTCAAGGACATGAACCATTTGTCCAGCTCCAGAGGCTACCAGCCTCACAAGGTTTCTTCTCAAAGTATAAAGAAGTTCTGTGCAGGCAGCTGCTTTAATTATAAAGGATAACCACAGTAGTGACATAATCGAGACCTGACTAGAACAGCTTCTTAAGGCTGAGAGAAATGTAGAACCCATTGTGACAGTAATTAGGTCTGGACACCCCAAAACTACTTAGGAAACCCCGTTGTCCACTGAGTTTGTTGAAATTGACCACTTCTACACATGATTTGTTTTGGAAGTTCTTCAATCCTAACAGGCCTATGTTATGGCTGCTTTGTGGCCATCCTCTTAATGAGCGATCATAATGCACTGTGTGACAACCAGAATACCAAGTAGTTATAAACTGACAGATCCCCTGGTATGCAGATTTCACCTAAATAGCCTAAACTCATGTAACCAGTGAATAACCCTGTTAACAAAACTAGTTTCGAAATTTCACCCAGAATATATAACTTTGGACCTGGGGGCACTACGTTAGTAACACATATGTAAATAGATGTATCATAAAACACTGGCCGCATATATACATACAATGCACCCCTGTCTTATGGGGTACAGAGGGCCAAAGGCACACATTGCCCCTTCTGAGGGAACCATACCTAACAGGTATGTCAAGTCTGGTATCTGG